TCCGGCGAAAGGTCACTCTTACGTCTAGTCGATCCATCGACTGTCCCTCTGAGCCTCCAAGCCCGGCGCCCCGCAGCAGCTGGCCGGCCGGCCGCCTTTTCGCCGCGCCCGGGCCCCGCACGGAGGAAGACGTCTCTCTCGGCGCGGCCGGTTTCTCGGCCGGCCGCGCACACAGGGGAGCGCGCGGGGGCTCTCGGGAGCGGTCGGCTGGTGAGGGGGGCTCCGAGCACCGCCGTGGAGGAGGCCCTTTGCCATCGTCCAGGCAGATGTAGGAGCACGGTTCCCATGCCATTGCACGCACACGAGAACGAGAAGTAGTCAAGTTGGGCTCAGAGGAGCCCCGCAGGGGAAGAAGCGTCGGCCCGGTACCGTCAAGGTGCTGGCAGCAGGGTGCTCTTATCATCCGGCTTGCTGGTCAAGCTTGATCGGAGGAGGCCCAGACATTAGAGGCCTCCCAGATGGGGTCAGAGTACGTAGATGGGGTCGTAAGATCGCGCCGCATCGTCGATGCATCGCCGATGCATTGGCGACGTCGGCGATGCATCGCCGACGCAAGGCTCCGAGCAACACCGTGAAGTAGCCCGTGCTTGATTATCCGCGATAACGCCCGCGTTAGGCCCCACCCTCCCCCCCCCTCGTCACGTCACGATTCGCGCCGACGCCGTCTGTCTGGGAACGAGCCACCCGTAGGCGCTCCCAGACGGCACCGGCACGGATCGCCACGTGACTGGCCCCCTCCTCCCCTTCCCCCCCTCGGGTCATACCCGCTTATCGCCAGGGCAGCACGCGCTCTCAAGGAGGGCGGAGGCCAAGACATCCAATGCCCAGAAGGGACATGAGAGCGGAGGTCCTTCACTGTCTTCGGCCCCCTGGGCCCGGGGGGGCCTCACCAGGCCCCAGGCGGCCCCTGGACGTCAGAAGGCGGCTCGGGGTGAAAGACGTGTGCGGGGAGAGGGGTGCAGACCGCCAGGCGCCCACGCGGCGACAAACACGGCGACGGCGGAGATCTGGGGAGGAAGAGGGGCCCGACATAGTGGAAGGATACAGTCCTCGCGAAGGCCTCGAGGAGCGTTTGATGAGGAGCGTGGTGTGCCCAGGGTGCGCCTCGGCCTCGAAAAGGTTGCCGCGACCTCGATCCAAGAATCGGGCGTTTGCAGGACTTGGCTTAGTGTTGTGGATGCCATGACAGTGGACACCCCAGCAATCCTATCATTGAATTCTTGACGCTTCGCGTATCCCCACCAGCCCATCCTACACCAGGCACTCGAACGAAGAGCGCCGATGATCGGCAGCTGTTCTCCTCCCCTCTTCCGCCTTCTCCTCCTCCTCCTCTCCTCCTCCTCCCTCTCCTCCTCCTCCCTCTCCTCCTCCTCCTCCTCCTCCTCCTCCTCCTCCTCCTCCTCCTCCTCCTCCTCCTCCGCCTCTTCCTCCTCCCTGGTGGCGTATTGGAAGCGTCTTCGAACGTTTTGGTGGGCTCTTGGGCCTTGCGGGCGGGCGGGCGGCGCTCCGCCCGCCCGCGCGCAGGGCCCAAGAGGGGGTCCAAGACGTCTCTCGGAGCCATCTTGGAGGAGATCGATCAACGAAGGGGGGGTCCTAAATTTCAGCCCCCCCCTCAGGAGCCACGATCCTCGTGAGGGGTGTCGAATTTTAGCCCTCCCAGGGGTCGATCTTGGACGCTCTGACCGATCGCGGCCCCCCCTGTCCAGGTCAGTGGGGAGGGGGTAGGGGGAGGGGTAAACCCCTCCCCGAAGGGGAAGAAGGAGGGGTGGAAGAGGAAACGCTCTAAACCACCGACGCCCAGAGGGCTGGTGGGACTTCTTGGGAAGCTATTTTGGGAGGCTTGGGCTCCTCTTGGACCCGTCTGGGCGCCCTTGAAGGCCCTGCTGGGGCGCTCTTGGGGCAATCTTGGAGGACATCGGTCAAGGAAGTAGGGTTCCTTAATTAGAGCCCCCCCCCCAGGAACTCCAAGAATCGTCTCCTGTACTGCTCTGGGACCGCTCTTGGAGCGCTCTTCGGCGCTCTTGGCGCCGTCATGGGGCTTTGTTGGGCCCTTCTTGGAGCTATCTCGAGCCATCTTGGAGCCATCTTGACGCCTCGGATGTGCATCGCAAGCGAAAAAGTGAGAACACCAAAAACATTGATTTTCCCTAGGGTGTTGAAGCATTTTGGCCTCTTGGATGCATCCTAATGATGCTCTTGTGGGCACTTGGAACCGTCTTGGAGAGTTCTTGGAACGTCTTGGAACATCATGGGGACCATCTTGAGGCATCTTGCGCTATCTTGAGCCATCTTGGAGGGTATCTTGGGCTCCCTGAGGCCCTCTTGGAGCCGTCTTGGGTCATCTTGGGCGCTCCAACGCGCCGCGGAACCCCCTGTCCAGGTCAGCGGGGAGGGGGTAGGGGGAGGGGTAAACCCCTCCCCGAGCGGTAGCTATTTGGCAGGTCGTTTCCCCTCCATCCATCGGCTTCCACATGATTAGTGGGACCTGGTTCAGGGGCGTGCACCTTGGGACGGCCCCCCCGCCCCATTCCACTATAACCGGAACTGCCGTCATCCTGGGCCTTCAGATTGCCCAGGCCGAGGGCGCCCTGGGGATGTAGGGCCCTGCCATGTTCCCCCAATTGGGCCCCTACAGGGCGGCTGCACGAGCACAGCAGGAGCATGCTCCTCGATGCTCCTGCTGCGGCAGCACGCGGCACGCCCCTGCCGCCGGGAGGAGGATTCGGGAGGGCTCCAGACAACACACCACCACCAGCCCTGGCCAGGTCCATCCTGGGCCCTGGGCTGTTGCACAGGTCCTCCTGGCCGAGGCCTGGAGGTCTCTGCACCAGCCCAGGGCCCAGGATGGACCTGGCCAGGGCTGGTGGTGGTGCATTCTCGGCGTCCTTCCGACGGGCGAGTCTGGGCCAGCGGGGCTCACCTCCGCGGGCAGGCACGCCTGGCGCAGGGCCGAGTGCCCGCCCGAGCATTCTGCGGCCGCTGTGGGCCAAGACAGATCCTGGCCTGGAAAGCGGGGCCCACGAAAAGAGCATCAGGACCTCTGAACGGCGGCGAGCCCAGGGGGGAAGTGAGAAATGGCGGAACTTCTGAGAGGGCTCGGAAGTCCCACGGCCTTCTGAAAAGTGTCCTGAGCCTTCCCCGGAGACAACGAGAACCTCTCAGAAGGCCAGAGGGCCTCTGCGAAGCCCCGCCGCCTTCTGAGAAGGCATTCTCCCTCTCAGATTCCCCCCGCTCGCGGCCGGTCTTCACTTGCACTGTGATCGATGCTTCGAGTCGCACTCTCGCCCACCGCGTTGCCGCGGCGGCCCTGGCGACACGCTGCGCCTTGCGAGCGGCCAGCGTGTCGCCCTCCGCCCACGGGGCCGAGATGCTCAGAAAGGCTCGGGACGTTGACGCTGGGAGGCCAGGGAGTGGACAGCGTGTCGCGCCGAAGCGTGGTTGGCAAGGACCCGCGGGGCGACACGCCAGCCCGAAATTCCCCACCGCACACTTCCCATCGCTCGGGAAGGCGCCCGCGTCCCCGCGGCGGCCGAGGATTCTGCTCGGTTTCCCTGGCCCGAACCTCTGAATGTCGCGCAGTGCTGCGCGGCAGCGTTGCTCCTGTAAGCTGTGAGCTGTCATCCCCAAGAAGCCCGTATGGATCGGGCACGTAGTCGCACCGTTGGGCTGCCCATACTTCGCTCCCCTCTGATTGAGTCGCGCGTTCATCCTCAAACCTTTATGGCCTTCCTGTGTCCGAGGCCCCCCCCACCACCGGTGCGTGGCTGGACTTTGTGCTGTTCGCCACCCCTGCAGGGCGGATCCCAGCTGTGCTTCGGAGCCCCCCCGCAAACCAGGTTGCGTACGGAGCTCCGCGCGACCTGCGCCGCACCACCTCGCCGCAAATGCCGGCTGCTCTTCTTGGCAGGACGGCCCTGCGGTGCACTGGGCCCTGAGGCCGCCAGACAATGGCAGCCCACGGGCCCGAGCTTTCACAGCGAGCGGCCGGCTTTGAACATGCTGGCGGCAACAAGCTTGAACCCTCGTGGTCGCCCCCTCCGGCCCCTGTCCCTCCGCATCTCGGCTTGCTGACTACCTGCCTCGGCAGCAGAGAGGGCCGCCACTCCCTCCCTCCGCCCTCCCCCCGACCTTCCCATTGCCCTCCCAGTCCCGCGCAGCCTCGTCCCCAGACGTCCGACTGCAATTACTCCTTCTATCGGCCGCTCCAGAACTCCCGACCGACTCACTTCCCCAGGGGCAGGATTTCGTCCCGGATCCGCGGTGAAGAGCCTGCGAGATGCGAAAACCACTCGAAGCGGCTATAGGGTAGGAGAAACGCTGCGATCGAATGCACCAATCCTTCGGCGGTCTGGGTCCATCCCTCCTCCTGTAGAACACCTCCTCGGGAGCCGCTCCTCCCCAGAACTGGGCGGTCTGGGCGGACTTCTTCAGAAGAGCGGCGGACCTCCCCCCTTCGCGCGCGGAGCGCGCCAGGAGCGGCGCCAGAGGCGCCGCCAGGGGGGCAACACTGAAGGGGACGGGCTCGGGGAGGGGGACACAGAGCTGGAATCAACGGTACGTCGCCGAGACCTCGGCGACAGGCCGTCGAAAGCGAACCCGCACGTCCCTGGCCGGGGTGGGCCATGAGGCCCCTCTCGGCGATGCCTGGGGGACTTGGGTGTCGAAGCGTCGCCCCCTCTGAGTCTATTCCCCCCTTCACACTGCCCTCCGGCCCATGCGGCTCATGACTCGGGTCTCCGGCGGCCGTTCGCGGGGCGATCTGGGCACCTCCGGAACGCTCTCGGCGGAACGACGCAGCCGCTGGCAGGCACCGCGAGGCTGGAACACCGCTGGGAGCCAGAGGAAAAGTGAGCCAAAAACCCAAAACCTCGAACCTGAGACCTAAATCGAAAATGACATCCTCCCCCGCAGCCGCGCGCCAGAGGTCTCACTCCGGCAAACAGTCGATCGTACACAAGGCAGCCGACGCCGGCGGTGCCGCCGGCCTTCGCGGCCGAGGCTCACGGGGACGTCCCCGATGCGGCCTGGGGCGGGACAAGGGACGGGGGAGTGGCGGGGCTCGGCACGGAGGGAGCGGGCATTGGATACGAGGCGGGTATGCAAGTACGGTCAGGAACTTTTGCTTAGCGTGTCGCGGCGGCAGACCTGGCAATACGATATGCCTTGCAAATAGAGAATGTGTTGCTCCGCTCTGTGTGATGGGCCACGCCAGAGCTCGCCAACGAAGGAGACCCCCCCTCCTCGTCTAGTGTTGCACTCGACGCCAGATCGTGCTGCAGCATGCTGGCGCCACTACGTAGCAGAAGTCCTGGGGGTGGAGGGGGCGGGGCTCTCGCTCGAGACGCCCTTGCAACAAAACGGTTGCCTAGTACTGCGGGTCGCGTTGGGCCAGGAGACGCATGCCGAAACGCACTGGGCTGTTGCCACAACGCCAACATACTCCATCTGATTTTCATACCCGCGACGCACATACAGGAGTTCTCGCTCGAAACGTCTTCGCAAAAGTCCGCGCCGTGGATTTGGAGTCGTGGTGGGCCACGTCAAAGCCCGCAGTCCTGGGGGGGAGGAGGTGGGGCTCTTTCTCGAGACGTCCTTGCAACAAGAACGGTTTCTCCGTGCAGTGGGTGACGCTGGGCCAGGAGACGTAGGCCGAAAACGCACTTACGCAGGACGAGAGAATTTCCTCTTGAGGCGCCAGCGGCGACAAACGGTTGGCAACAGAACGTCGGCGCCGCCGGACGCACAGCGCCTGGGCAAGATGCTTGCAGCAGCTGGGGTTGAAGGGAAGTGTATATTCATGTAGGGTGCGAGCCGCGTGCGGGGAGGGGTTGGGGGGGGGGGCGTAAAACAACGCGCGACCTGGCTATGATAGCTCGTGGCCAAACCTGCTCCCCCCCGTAGAATCCGAACACCGGCCTGCTTGGATGCCGCGGATCCGACTTCCGTCCGCTAGCTGATTTCATTTCATACTAAGTCGGGCCCGTCCCCCTACAGGCGGATCTTCGGCGAACAACTAACAATACCAACAAAAACCCCATCATAATCAACAACCTGCTAGGAAAATCGTCCCCAGCGTATTTGTTTTTCTTGTTTTAGCCTTCCTACTGTAGAGGAACAGGCCCGACTGAATTATAATATCCCCACCGCGCTTGCAGCGGTAGGTCTGTGTCGGGCCCTCTCGCTCCCTGCGCAGCAACATTTTGGCCCCCCCTCGACTCCTCGCGCCGATGCTGCGGTCGTTGGTATGATCCAGGCCTTGCGTTCTGGGCCTTCCAGGCACAACATGTGCCCAAATGCGAGGTTGGGGGAAAGACTTTGGACGCCCGAAATGGGCACGGGAAAAATGGGAACAATGCCCAACAACAAATGTTGTCCCAAACCAACAACGGCCGCTGTTGGGCAGGCGGCCTTCTGTTTCAAATGGACACAGGCTGCGGCGGCGCAGACAGCGAGTCCTGTTCAAAATGAACAGGAACTGTGTTGAACATTGTACCCATTCTTTCCGTGCCCATCTCGTTCGTGCGGAAGGACGTTCGCTGGACACTTTTCCCCCCGGCCCCCCCGGCGCCCGCCCCCCCCCCCCCACCCTCCCCAGGCGCTTCCCGAGCGCGATGACGGAATCGCGCGGCAGCGCCACTGGATGATACATTCCTTCCAAACAGCGTAAAAATCTGAGCGAGGGGGCCGAACGGTCATTCACTGTCCCTGGGCGCGTGGCTGAAATGAGGTTCTGCGGTGCCGATATTGTTGTTGTTGAGTGTTAACTACTGAGCCATTATTACTGTTGGACCCCCCCAGGCACTTTGGCCCTCTGTCGCTTCGGCGCCGGCTACACTTAGATAAAAAATGAGGCTCGCGCTCAAGCGGTTTGGGGCGGCGCCCAAACCAGCCCCCAACAACAACAACAACAACAACAACAACAACAAAAAACAACAACAACAACAACATCAACAACAACAACAACAACAGCAGCCACAACAACAACAACAACAACAACAACAACAACAACAACAACAACAACAACAACAACAACAACAACAACAATTACTAGCACGTGGGGACACACCGTTCTCACCAGTGCCAGGGTTTTCATAGGAGGCGGGCAATACCCCCACTTTGTGGGGGGGCCGGTTCAAGCTCTACCAAATTTCCAAACGACTCTTCGCCACCACCCACACCCAGCTTCCCGCCCTATGACGTTCGGACACTTCACTTCGTGGCATGCGGACGACCGTGGCTACTATTCAGGGCCCCGCGGCCGACGACGACGGCGTGCGCGCGCGAAGAAAAAACGAATGTGTCCCGCATGGTATTATTTGACAGGGATGATGGCCCTGGCAGGTGCGCAACCGTTGTTGCAGAAGTTCGAAAAAGTTGCTCGCAAAAGCCCGTTTGACAGAAATGTTTAAAAAGTGTTGGGTTTCCTACGAATCCGCAAGAGCGCGCGGGATGAAATTTTGACATTTTTTTTTGAAAAACCATTGGTTTTTTGATGTTTTTATGTTAAAATCGCTACGAAACTAAGGTTTTGGAAGGATTTCGTCTTGCGCGCGCGAATGTCCACTTTACCTTATTTTTTGCAAGGGATTCTTGAAGTTTGGTTATGTTAGAACAAGAAATGTCCACTTTAGCTTATTTTTTGCAAGGGAAAACCGATCGTAACAACACAACCGGATCCGGACCAACCCGTTTTGCCTGAGACTTCCTCACGAAAATGATGAAAATGAGGCTGCGGCCTAGGCGCGGCGGGGGGGTCGCGCACCAGGGGCCCCAACAATAATTTTTTTAGAAGTAATAATGATCAACAACAATAACACAAACACCAACAACAACAACAACAACAACAACAACAACAACAATCATTTTACCCGAACGCGTGGTGTTCTCCCCAGTGCCAGGGTTTTCATACGACACCAGGCAATACCCCCACTTCGTGGGGGGGCATTACAAGCTCTACCAAATATCCAAACGACTCTTCGCGACCACCCAAACCCAGCTTCCCGCCCTATGACGTTGGGACACTTCACTTCGTGGCGTGCGGACGACCGTGGCTACTACACTGGCGTGGGGTACACACCCACAGAACTTGGTCACTTATTCGGGGCGCGCATGTGCCCAGCATGGTGCAATTGTGCCATACAATACATAATACAGAGAGACGAATGTGTCCCGCATGGTATTATTTGACAGGGATGATGGCCCTGGCAGGTGCGCAACCGTTGTCGCAGAAGTTCGAAAAAGTTGCTCGCAAAAGCCCGTTTGACAGAAATGTTTAAAAAGTGTTGGGTTTCCTACGAATCCGCAAGAGCGCGCGGGATGAGATTTTGACATTTTTTTGTTGAAAAACCATTGGTTTTTTGATGTTTTTATGTTAAAATCGCTCCGAACACTAAGCTTTTGGAAGGATTTCGTCTTGCGCGCGCGAATGTCCACTTTACCTTATTTTTTGCAAGGGATTCTTGAAATTTGATTATATTAGAACAAGAAATGTCATTTTATAGTGTTTTTTGCAAGGGAAAGCGGGGGGGAACAAAACAACCGGATCTGGATGACATCGAATTACCTGAGGCTTCCTCACGAAAATGATGAAAACGTGGCTGCGGCCTAGGCGCGGCGGGGGGGGCGTGCACCAGGGGGCCCAACAATAATTATTCTTTAGAATTAATAATGTTCAACAACGCTCCCGCTCGAGACTTCCTTCTTTCCTGCTCAGGGCCGGTGCTGTTGCTCGCCGCCGGAGGCCGCCGTCCCAACAAAACCAGCGCTCCCGCTCGAGACGTCCTCCCGTTTACCTGGGACTGGCGCGCTACTTTTTCCCTCATCGGCGCCGCCCCCAGCAACAACAACGCTCCCGCTCGGCTCGAGATGTCCTTCCTTTTTCACCCAAGGCGGTGTTCCTCCTCGCCGCCGAACGCCGCTGTCCCGACAAAACCAGCGCTCCCGCCCGAGACTTCTTCCCGTTTTACGCTCGACTGGCACCCTACTCTCTTTTGAATTGGCGCCGCTCCCAGCAAGAACAACGCTCCCGCTCGAGGCTTCCTCCCTTTTTCCTCAAGACGGTGCTGTTCCTCGCCGCCGACAGCCCCCGTCCCGACAAAACCACGGCTCCTGCTCGAGGCTTCCACCCTTCTTACTCAAGGCGGTGTTCCTCCCCGCCGCCGAAAACCGCCGTCCCAGCAAAGCCAGCGTTCCCGCTGGAGATGCCGTTTTGCTTTGTGCTGGACTAGCGCCCTGCTCTCTTCAGCATTGGCGCCGCTCTCAGCAACAACAGCGGCCCTGCTCGAGACTTCCTCCCTTTCTATTCAGGGCCAGGTCCTTGCCTCGCCGCCGACAGCCCCCATCCCCACCAAGGCAATCCTGTCGCTCGATACTTCCTTGTGCTTTACCCTTGGCTGGGCCTCCGGTGGCGGTCTCGCATCGGTGCAGCAAGGCGCAGGCATGTGTTTTCGAGGCGGGATATGTTGAAATCCCTCGGAGATGTTTGCAAGACCTCATTGGGCGGGAAATCCGGGAATGGAAATAACTGACCCCGCTGTAAAACAATAACCCCCCATGATGGGGATGGTTATCATGGTGGTCGCATGCTTCGTGTGGAAACATCGCGCATGAGGGTAAAATGATGGTTGTTGTTGTGGTTGCTGTTGTTTGTTGTTGTTATCGTTGATTGTTGTTTGTTGTCGTCCCCCCCGCGACCCACCCCGCGACCCGCCCGCGACCCACCCGCGACCCAGCCGCAACCCACCCCGCGACCCGCCCGCGACCAACCCCGCGACCCGTCGGCGACCCACCCGCGACCCAGCCGCGACCCACCCGCGACCCTGTCCGCGACCGGGCCCGCGACCCGTGGGCGACCCCCCCGCGACCCCCCCGCGACCCACCCCGCGACCCACCCGCATTGCTGCAACGAAAAATCGACGTCTGCGGCGGGCTCGTTGCACAATTTGTAAAATTTGGCGCCTGCGGCGGGCTTCTTCAGAGCTTCGCAAACTGCCGACGTCCCCGCCGCCCCCTCACTCTTATCCGCAACTGCGGGGTGCCACGTCGGTTCCGTGTGAAAAACAAGACAGACATCAGATCCAACAAAATACGAAATCGGATCCGCGGGGAAGGACTTTTTATCCACCGCAACACAATTCCAAACCAAATTCGGATCCACACCAACTTAGGTGGATCTGCCAACATTTATGTCATGCTGGCTGTCGCGGGAGCTGAAAGTATCGTGCCCGTGTCCAAGAGGAAAACGTTCCTCCCGGGAATGTATGCCCTACAACAGAAGTTATCCGACATGAGTAAGATAACCTGACACATTAGCAATAGTCCTGACTAGTTAGTGAGCAAGAGATGCTAAGAGATGGAATAGAAAAGCCGTCAGTGACAGAGGAGAGCAGGTAACAGATGGACAGCACCCCCTGCTCCAAATGAGCATGAGTTCATGCCATTGCACCATTTCTCCTGTATCTATTTTGGGTGTTTGGAAGTGCTGGCAGGAGGGGGAACCGGGGCCGAGAACATATCAAAGGCGGCCGGCGCCAAAAGGGGCTCCAGGACGTGTGCAGCCTACCACGCACACGTCGCCCACGACGCGAAGACAAGGAGCAGGACTCCCTTTACAGAGGTCTATCAAGAGAGCGAGGAAGAGAAGTGGGTCTTACGCATGATGTATAGCGACCTTGTGCGATAGTTACGCTCACGCGGTAAACCACGTAGAGAGGCGGTCGCTTACGGGCAACCTTCTGCTGCCAACTTGCGCGCCCATGTCCGCACAACCGCCCCTGCTCCCAAGAGCCGATCACGTGGTGCCGGAATGAATGGGCTCGGAGGATCGTGGAGCACATCGGGCGCCAGATCGCGCCGCTTCGCATGCACGGGTGATGCAGCGCGACTCCTCCGGCCCCTGCTCCTGCCGCCACTGGAGGCCTCGGCAGATGCAACATCGCGCGGGAGGCCAAGCTGCGCTCCACCAGCCGATGACGCTGGCACTGGTGGTGCACGAAAACGTGGCCAGGGCGTGAGACTGGCCTGGCAGACTGGCCACAAGCAGAGGTCGAGGCTCCCGACCTTGCTGCTTTACATCCCTCGGCTTGCCTCCGCGCGCTCTGCCATCTCGTCGGCGAACTCTGCGTCCGCCGCCAAGTTCGGCGACGCCGGCATGACGGCCCGTGCTTCTCGAAACGCCTTCCCAAGATGAGAATGGCTCGAAAGATGGGGGAGAAAGAGGGATAGAGAGAGAGAGAAACAAAACAAGAAAGAAAGAGAAAGAGGAAGAGCGAGAGAGGAAGAGAGAGAGTGAGAGAGAGCGAGAAAGAGAGGCGCAAATGCGAAAAGGAGACAAGGGAGCCAGACGAAGAAAAGGGGAGACAGAGATACACAATTATGTGTATATATGCAAAGAGAAAGAGAGAGAGAGAGAGAAAGAGAGAGAGAGAGACACACACATCAAACACATGAAGGACTCCTGACGGGATTCGCCGCTGGACTGGCCCATAACTGCACAGGGCACATTGAAAACGGAAGAGGGGGGAGAAGCAAAAGAACCACCGTGCGATAAGAACGTACTGTGCTCCAACAGTGTGAGAACGTAAAAGCTGAATGAGGCCCTGCCGACCTAGCCAGAGAGGCGCAACGCCGATCAAAGACATTCGAGCAGACCTCCGACAACACTAAACGAATGCAACAACGTTTTGTTTTTGCGATGTCCCGATCTGTCCGTGTCGAACAGCCCCAACCAACGGGCGACGAGGGCAGCCGAAAGCGTCCGACAACAGAAAGGGGCAGTGCATATGGTCGGTTCTTTGAGCAAGCTCCGAGAACGCTGGCTCGGTCACGGTCGGCTGTCAGCTCTGCAAGAGATGGACATCCTTTCTCCTCATCCTCCTGCTAAGACGTAACCCAGATGAAAACAACATCAACTTATGAAGAAAAGGGAATATCTCGGAACCAAGATGAAGAATCGATCGGGCAGATCTCAAATAATATAATGGCCGCCGCCGCCGTACCGAGAGCGTTCCAGAACGTCCTGGCGGGAGGCATCCTGAACCTAGAACGCCTGAGCTCTTCCTCCTGCTCACAACTTGATTGCCGCAAGACCTCGGGACCCGGGGCTTCCGATACGCTTCTCTTGTCCAGCCGGGCATGGATATGTAGGCAAACGGCACACCTGAGGAGAAGAAGGGTATGAAGGAGTAGTAAGCTTCTGGAGCAACGCTGTCGCTAGAAGATGAGGGGGGAGAGCATGGGGGAGGAGGCAGAGGACAAGAAGACGGAGATTGTAGAGGACGATGAGGAAGGAAATGAGGATATAGAGAATCGGCTGATTGTGATGGACGTGGGGAGGGGAGTGAGGACCTGGAGCAATGGCGGTGGGAGAATACGAACAAGGACGAGGAAGAGGATGAGGAGGGGCCGGAGGGGTGGGAGGAGGGACGGGAGCGAAAAAGAGGAAGCGTAGCAACAACAAAGCATTATCAGGAGTCCGTGTGCTTGTACGCTGAGCAGGCTGATGAGAAGGGTGACAATACTAATGAGAGCGAAGGCGAGATGATCACACCACTCTGCTATAGGTGACAGGAAGACAAAGAGATGCAGGGGTGTATGGGGAGCAAACGGACGGGAGGAGGAGGAGGAGGAGGAGGAGGAGGAGGGGTGAGGTGTAGGAGGAATGTGTGAACGAGGCAACCACTAAGCGATGATGCATGAAGAGGGGGGTGGTGAGGGGGAGGGAGGATGGGATCGAGAGGAAGGGGGTGAGGGAATGGAAGGCAGGAGTGAGGGATGGATCCAGGAAGGACAGACCAGGACGAGGAGGACGAGCCATGACAGGGACGGGGAGACGTCGGGGAGCGACGCGACGGAGGAGGAGGGAGAGAAGTGGAGAGACCGATGAGTAAGGACGGGAAAGATGAGGAGACGACGCCGCCGACGCCGACGCCGACGTCCCCGACGACGAGGCGAAGCCCGCGTGGCGATGGCCCCACGCGACACCGCGCGACCGACGGCACGCCGCGCCGCCTCCGCGGCGTCGCCGTAGCGCTCCAGCTGCAGGAAGACCAAGCCCCGGCCGCTGAGCGCGCCGAAGTGCAGCGGCTCCAGGTCCAGCGTCTGACGGATCTCCGCCAACGAGAGGGCCTGGAGATGCTCATCGGGCCGGGCGAAAGGGGGGGATAGCAAAGGGGGGGTGTGAGGATCAGCTCACGTAGCTGACTTTCCCGGCGCCTCCCGGCGCCGGAGGCGGCCATGTATCGAGGAGTGGGCCCCTCGGTGGGGCCGAAACCAGCTGCATGCAGCTGTCGCAACCCCCCCTTTCCCAATCCCCCCCTTTCGCCCGGCCCGAGCTCAGACTTCGCTGGGGATGGCTCGGGCCCACCACCGCCAGTCTGGGGCGGGGGCCATCTCTCACGGCTTCCAGCAGGGCTCGGGATACACACGGTGCTTTGCATTTCCGTTTTGCTCTCGCTATCCCTCTTTCTGTCTCCGTTCCACCGTGGCTGCAAAACGAAATCTAAAAAACGAATACGGTCCTCGAAATTGCTAAAAGCCCGTTTAGCTCGAGCCCTGGCTTCCATCAATGGGTGCTGCGAGGGTTCCCGCCCCCACCAGCCAACCTTCAATTTTGCCGTCAAGCGGCCCCGAAGGGGCCGAGGAGACCCCTGGGGGGGCGGGTGACCCGTACCTCCGCTCCAACACACATATGTGCCACCACCTCCAATCCAAGGCGCCAACTGCCACCTACCAGAAATACTTATCCTCAATTCCCCCGTGGGCTTTTTCACAAGGCAACGACTGGCGGAACACGCGCAAACTTTGAGAGATCCGCGCGAAGCGCACCAGGGGCGGCAGTGGAGGCGTCGCCAGGGGGGGATCAAGCGCAGACCCAGAGAATCCGCGCGAACCTTCGAATCCGCTGGACCCCCCTCCCTGGCGCGCGGAGCGCGCCAGGGGCGGCGCTGGAGGCGCCGCCGGGGGGCCCCAGTGCCGATCCGAGAAATCCGCGCGGACCTCAGAGTTTTTATGTTTATGCCACTTTTTGTTCCCCTAGCTTATGCTTGCTGCACTGCAACTCAGTTTCAAGGGGATGCCCCTCCTTGATCCCTCCGACCCTGAGCCCAGTGAACAGAGAGGAGCTGGGTGGAGGACCCAAGGTCAGGCGAAGAGGCGCCCTGCGACGCGCCAGCCTAAAGCGCGCGCCTGGCTGTGAGCCGGGCGCCTGGCTGTCAGGAGGAGGGAGGAGGGAGGAGGGGGAGGAGAAGAAGACTGCCCCCTCGGTCCGATTCTTCAGCACAGAGAGAGACCAGCCCGGCACTGGGAGGGAGAAGACCAGGACTGCCGCGCTGCCGGAGGGCCCCAGGGTGCCGCCGGCCCCGCGAAGTCCGCGGGCAGCTTGGAAGAAGAGAAAGGCGGCTGAGCAAAGAACAATCGGACCCGATGTCTCCCCGAATCTACGAGACTATAGCAGCTTGGCTCGAAGTGGCTGCAAGAGAGGGGGAGGCAGGAGGAGGCAAAGGGGGGAGAAGAGGGCCGAGGAGCCCAAACCTCTGGCGTCGTATTTTGTTCGCAGAAAGTTTCCCCCATTGGCACAGCTCGTCGGCAGTGCTCGGAAACGCTTACGCCCATCACCCCCTGTGTTCGCTCCTGTTTCAAGCTTCCGAAGACACCAAATACACAAAGGCCTCCGCAGAAATGATGGGGGAAACAAGTCCTGAAGAAAGCGGTACCCTGGATCCCAGGGGCTGACCCTGGCACCAAGTTCGGAGACTCCGAAGGGTGTGCTTTGCAAAAGGTGTGGTTTGCAACTGGCACCCTGGGGGGGCACCCTTGGAGGCGGGCGTGGACATCGTTAGAGTCCTCCGCCGAGCCCCAAGGAGGCCCGACGAGGACAGTGTCGTCACCCCCAGGCCCCGACGACTCAGATCGAAAACCACACCCTGACGTAACCATATCCTTTGTAGTCGCCCACAGTTGTTCCATCTCGAGCAGCTCGTTCGCTGCCCCCAAGGAAGAGCCCGTGGGGAGGCCGAAGACGGCGGAAAGTCTCGAGGCCCCTTCCCCTCGGGATCCCTTCTCCTCGTGCTGCCAGGGGGCTCCACGCCCACCACCCACCACTCGGTCGCACGCTAACTTGGATCGGGGAAGGACCCCCCCCCTGAAGCACGAGGCCAACCCCGCTCTTGGCGACGGAGCATTCCGATTCTGTATGGAGGCGGGGGCCGTCGCTCATCCACGCTCCCGAATCCATGTCTGCGCGTCGTCGAACCACGCCGCCGACGACCGCCTGAGAGCACCGCACCCCCACCCCCCACCCGCAGGGCAGGGCGCGGGCTCTCCAGATCGGCCCACTGCGCATGGGGCGGAGCCCCCGCCTCCGATGCTCCCTGCCCGAGCGCAGGCTGGTTGCAGTGCTCAGCTGGACTGCGTGGGTCCCTGGCCCGAGCAATCCGAGAGCAACACCGCCGACGGAACGAGGCATCACCATCGCTGTGCCGATGCCGCCTGGCTCGGCATACGTGCTCCTGCTCCAGACGAACATGCCGCACGGGTTCCCCCACAGAGCGCAAGGGTGGATGCGATCTGTGCACGTGTCTGCGCGTCCGCTCCGGACTGTTAGGAGACCTCTCTCCGAAAAGAAAGCCGCGGCCGGCACCGAGAGATATCTGGAGACTTCCCAAGTCGGGCCTGAGCAGATGGGGTCGGAGGATCGCACCGCATCGCCGATGCATCGCCGATGCACCGGCGACATCGGGATGGAGAACATCAGGCTCCAAATCGGGCCGCATCCTCGATGCCACCGGCGATGCGGCGCGATCCTGCGACCAACTGAAAACAGGCCCCATACATCGCGGACGGCCAAACACAAAGCTTGGCCTGGCACCGAAGGAACCGGATGTTGAGGGAAAGGGGTCCTGGACCCGGGGGGGCTGCCCCCGCGACCAGTCCTACATCCCGAATTCAGGACATACGTACGCGCCCAACCGCGTACTTGAAGGCGGCCCCCCAGCCCGCGAGACCAGCCGCGTGATACGAACGCTTGCGCAAAGCGTACTCTCAAAACCGACGTGGGCTCATGTACCTGTACGCCCTTCTCTCGCTCCTGACCCCCCACGACCAGCACGGGAGCGGCCAAGAGGGGGGTGTCCAAGAGGGGTGTGTGCAAATCATGACCGGCGGCATGTGCGCGGCCTAGCGGAGGCCAGGGACGTGGGGAAATATCATGGCACCCGCCATGATATCCATCCCCCCCTAGTCATCACCCCCCTCTTTTCCGCCCCCGAGCAGCTCGTCATCCCGAGTCGTTCTCTGACGGCCCCGGTGCGCACAAGGGGGCCCCCGGGCCGTCTACGGGCTCCCGGGGCCCAGGGAGGGTCCCATAGGAGGCCGAGGGAGGCGAAACGCTAGGAGGCGCTGGGTCTGCCGAGCTTACCAGCCTCGAACTTATCCCTATCCATAAGATTGACACGCCAAAAGGCGATGACAATCTTAGGGATGCGCCCTCAAAAAGTAAGGGAATCCCTAAGATTGGCATCGTGACGAGGAGATGCCCAGCGTAGGGATAAGGATACATTCCACGCTGGTAACGAGCGGTGCTCCAACCGTCGCCGCCCCAGCCCCCCGCCTGGTCGCCCATCAGGTAGTGGACGGTCGCCAAGCGGTTCCACGCCTCGGCGTACGATGGGTCCACGTAGGCTGGGGGCCAGGGTGCTTTGTCATGAACGCCGGCCTGCCACCGCACACTGCGCACGCTGATTGAAGAGCTGACGTGAAGCTTCCGTTGCTGAATCCCACCAGCCCTCTGGGCCTAGGTGGTCTACCGAATTCTTTCCATTCGTCTACCAAAACCCTCTTCCCGTCGGGGAGGTACACCATGGCCCTCCTCTCCCTGAGGTCTTTTCTGGGTGCCGCGAGCGGTCAGGGCGCCCAAGAGGGCGTCCGATGCTCCAAGATGCCATCCAAGATAACTCAAGATAGCCGGAGATGGCTCACTATTGCTTCCATCGTGCTCCAAGAGGCCCACCATACCATTCCAAGACGGATCCAAGAGCTCTCGAACCGTTCCCAGTATAGCGAGAGGCCAGCATCCCTCAAAAACAAAGAATGGATTTCTTGAGCCTTACCGCTGATTCGATTCCGGGGCGCGTCTTAGACCTCAAGATGGCCCAATAGAGCCCCAGGAGGGCCCCAAGAGGGCCCCAAGACGACCCCAAGGCGGCCCCAAGAGCGCCGCAAGAGCGTCCCACGAGGGCCCTAAGAGGGCATCAGGGATGGCTTGAAGGGGTCTCCGAGGCCACCCCCATGCTCCAAGAGATCTATGTGTTCATCTGGGTTGCCTGCTATGTTTCACTATATCTGTGCCCCTTCGTCCCTGTTTCCGTCAGCTCACATGGGCAACGTTTCTGAATGGGCAGGTGGGGATACTTGTTCGGTCAACAGGCTCGCGAGGCGGGTCGAAAGCCGTCCGAACACTAGTCGGGCCGCGACTAGGCAGCAATCAGGTGGGGGTACTTTTTAGTCAGCGGCCGCGGGCGAAGGCCCCGACGGCGTGTCCAGTCAGAGCGGGGCGCGCAAAGACGAATTAACAGGTGGCGATACTTTTTTTGATTGGCGGCTCCAAGGAAGAGTCCAAGAAGCGGGGCAAATACGTCTGGGGCACAGGCGAGATAATTGGTTACGAAGGCACCTAGGCCGACGCAACAAGTGCACCTGCAAGAGGCAACATGCCCCCCATTACGATGCAAGCGACCCGAGAACGGGGACGCAGGCACCAGACTGGAGTAGACGGAGAGAAGACGCACAGTGGCGCCAGCCCAAACCGTACAGTCCAGAGAGCGCAGGCTAGGGCCGAACAGCCAAGTGGCAGGACAGTGGGCACGTGGGGCCGCACCGCTCACCACTAGGAGGCAAGAGAGCGGGGAAGGCGCGGGCAGAAGATGGGTGGCCGGGGAAGCCTCACTCGCTTGGACTCATGGGCGCGAGTCGCCGTGAGCCATTGACCAATGCACTGACGTCGATGCAGCCGCGGAGTCCGAACCTAGACTGCTAGACCCGGAGTGTCGGGGGAACAGCAGCAAGCGTGGCCTAACACCATGGTCCAACTCGTAGGAGAGCATGAGTACTGACAAAGGATGAACCACTTGAGCAGTACCGCAGGTGGCGATACTTTTTTTTTACAGCCGCAGGCGGAAGCGCCAGCGGCGGAAGGTCGCGAACGGGCCGCGGACGCGACTAAATTACCTAACGCGCGCAGGGCCGCGGATCAGGCGGCTCACGACAGCGTCCAGGGAGGCGAAGACGATGCAATCCAGGTGCCATGACAGCCCCTGAACGGGCATGCAGGTGCGTCCAACAGGCCTGAGGTAGACACCGAGACCACCTAGCGCAGCCAAAATGGCGCGAAAACGCTCCAACGTCCAAAGGCGGACAAGGGAACGACCGAGGACGCCAGCCCCAGCCTGTCGGGTAGCACAGAGGTCGGGGTGGTAAGTCCAACGAGGATCCCGACGGCGGCAGCGAGCCGCGGCGTCAGCGACATCAAGGTGTATCCATGATCCGAGAAGACAACCACACCAAGACGTATCGGCCCAGACCCAACGGGTGGAAGGGCACCTGATGCACGCTCCCGTCGAAACGCGGCGCGTGCACAACACAGTGTCACAGTGCAGTCCAAAGAGACGGAGAGCACAGGCGGAACGAGACCGTGTATACCCAGGCAAGTCCCACAAGCCACTGACCCAAGGTCGCGGTAGGAAGCCGTCCAGCAATGGGAGTCCAGAGGGCACCGATCCATGGAGCCTGAAGGGTACCACAGGCTGACTGGGGACAAAGACCAACTGAAAAGCAGACGGCGAGCCAGTCGCAACGCAAGAAACGCATCCAGGGTGTGGAGAATGATGACAAGACAGAACATCCACACCTGAGATGCGACAGCCCAGATCCGACGAGTGGAAGGGGTGGAAGAGCACGATACGCGGCAGACCCCTAGGAGTGTGCACATCAAAGGTGGCCCAGCGATACCCAACCGAGTCGTCTAGCACAAAGGGACGAGGACGTCTTGTACCCGAGACGTGTCCCACAGAGCCAACGGATCCAGGGTGACGGCGGAAGGCCGCCCTTCTTGTTTGAAAGGTCCAGGGTGACGGCGGAAGGCCGATCGTTCGGTTAGAAAATCCAGGGGGAAGCCAGTGGTCAGGCGGCAGTGGCCAAATGACAGGCCAGGAAGGCCTGGCGGTGAGAAAGCTACAGTAGGGCCTGAGGCCGCGAGCCCACTGCGGAGAGGCGGTGGACGGTATTGCCGAAGCGCGCACCTGGATCCAAAGGCAGGAGGTGCGCGCATCGGGCGGAGGGCGGCAGAGCGCCGCGATTAGGGGCCAGCGGCGCGGCCTGGGCAGCGTCCGCTGGGATTCAGGAAGTGAAACATGGCGGGGAGAGAGGAGCCGAGTGACAAGAGGGCGTCGGCCACCGGTGGAGAAAGGCAGTGATGCCAGCGGCAAGTGGTTTGCAGGATGCGTGGTGTCACGCACGGAGCAGACGGTATTACCGAACGGCGCCCCAAGGCCACGGGTGAGAGAGGGTGCCGCTCAGGGGAGGGGCGGCAGGGCCGCCCCAGGTTGAGGGAAAGGGCGGCAGAGGGCCGCGGTGGTGTGTTGTGAAGCGCAGGCGGTGGGGCGGGCACTGGGGGGCGGTGAGGGCAGAGAGGGAGTTCAGTCTCTCCAGCGGAGTCTCTTTTCATCTCGATCATCCCGATCATCAGGGTAGCCTCCGCCGCGCTTGCCACCCGCCTGCCAGTGATCCTCACGCCGTCCGTCGCGCCACTCGCCCTGCCAACTGCTCCAGGTGTCCCAGGAACTTGTCGCACGGTCGCGCCAGCCCGTGTGGCGATAGCCGCCTTTGCTCCAGTCGTCTGTCTGGGAGTGACGCAGGTAGTTGGCTCGTATCTTGTTCCAGTCGATACCATAGCCCAGTCTCCTGTCCATCTCGTAGGCGTCGTACCCGCAGTCCTTCCAGGCCTCCAGGAAGTTGATGATATCCGCGGGCATGTGTAGTTTCGGGTCGGACTTGGGCGCCCTCCATCCAGGGAGCAGGGTACGCTGCGTGCTCGCTGTCCACAGTGCGCAAAAGACTGCTCCCAGCTGCGACTGAAGCCTGGATATACAGGTGGCGATCCGCGGAGCGTGAAGAATTGTGTTGCACTCGATGAGATCCCGGGCCAGTTCCACTCATCGACGGATCAAACCACCTGGGCCTATTTCACGAATGGATGGATCCCTGGCCTGGTGCGCCTCGGACACTATCAGCACCACATTGTTTAGTAAAGAAGGCCCGGCGCATGCAACACTCGACGCGCGGTGTCGCCAACCAAGTGGCATTAGCTTCGTGTTTTTGGGTGGGGGAGGTGACGGAAAACTAGTGACATAGTGACATTATTTTCGTCTCCCAACGACCACGTGCCAGATCCATGGATATCTACGTATGTAATCCATGTTGACGTTTGCACGGGGAGCGGGGGACGGATTGGTATCCCTCCTCCTCCTCCTCCTTCTCCTCCTCCTCCTCCTCCTCCTCTGCTGCTCCTCCCCCTCCTCCCCCCCTTCTCCTGCTCTTCCCCTTCTCTCCCCCTTCTCTCCCTTCCCCCTCTCCCCACCCTCCTCCTGCCCATCGCTTCCTCACCATCATCCCCTTCACCTCGTGGCCCGCCTCCGATATGCCATCCCGCGGCTCGCAGCCCAAAACATCGTCACGAACCCCCTTGGTCCGGGGGCTGGTGAGGTGGAGTGCGTATACACGCCTGCGCCACCTCCTGGTCCTCTATGCTTCATCTCCTCATCATCATCATTTTGCTCCTCCACCCTCCTCCCCCTTTCCTCATCCCTCCCCCCTCCTCTCCTGTTCTTCACCCTCTTCATCTCTCTCCTTCACCTCATCCTCTCTCCCGCTTCCTCCCTCCTCTTCCCTTCAACTCCTCCTCCACATCCTCCGCTTTCATCCTTCTTTGTCTTTTTCCTTACCCTTCCCACATCCCTCTCGCGCGCGCATTCTCGCGTTAGAGGGAGAAGGTGGAGGACCAAAGACGAGAAGACGGAGGCAGGCGGAGGATGAGGAGAAGGAAGTGGATGGAAAGAGGATGCGAGGAGCATAATAATTAAGAGAGGGGGAGGGAGGCTGAGGACGACTAGATGGGATAGATGCAATGCAGAGGAGAACGGAGGAGCATGGAGGATGAGACCGGAGGAGGAGGATTGTGGGAGGGCGGACGATCTCGTCCCACCCCCCCTGGAAGGTCCCAATCGCCCCCTCCGCGGGGCGCCAACAACTCCCAAACGGATCTGAACCGCCTGATACAACTCCCAAACGGATCTGAACCGCCTGATGCGGGAGGAGCATAAGGAACAGCAGGGGGAGCAGGGGGGGAGGGAGTGGAGGGAAGAGGAGAGGGGGAGGATCAGGAGGAGCAAGGTGGGGCAGGTAGGGGAGGGGAGGGGAGGCGGCGAGGGGGCCAGAGCAGAGCAGGAGGAAAGGAGGAGGAAACGAGCTGCCGGGTGGATCCAGCAGGCAGGAACGCGCCAACCTGCGCTCATGAAGAGCTTCTCGGCGCCGAAGAGGTCGCCCTGACGAGGCTCGGGGATCGGCGATCTCTGGGTGTCTGGTCTCTCGGGGGGGTTCCAAAAACTCTGCGGTGACGGACCGTGCGGTGGCCTCGGAATCCCCCGCGACCTCATCGCACGGTCCGCCACTGCACTGTGTTGGGGCCCTGGAAGCCCAGTCGCCCGAGACATTCCCGGCTAACAACCCAAGTCCCCAAACCGTGCGGTCAGCACGAATCCCCCCTGACGCACCACACGGCTTGGTCAACGCACAGTTTGCGGCCCCGCGGCCTCCTGGGCTTCGACGAGCCCTCTTCCACCCATCCTGCTCCGCCGCCTACCCGCCCGCCTCCATGATCCGTCGTCCTTCCATCATCTAGCTTCCATCCATCGTCCCCCGATGATTTGGCACAATCAGAACACGATAAGCCGCGTAGTCAGCCTGGGCAAGCATCCGAAGAAGTGTTGAAGCAACCGCTGAGCCAGCCTTCAAATATTGTATGACAAACTCAGGGACCATGGGGTACCACGGGGTCGAAACATCGAGTCACCTGTTCTGCAATCGGCTCGTGTCGCTGCGGAAAAGAACAACGACGACATGCCATCCTCCGTGCACGCAGCCTACGCACGGAGGAGGCATTGCAATATGAAGGCAGCCATGAACTAGGAGGGGGGGCGGAGGGGGAAGAGACATGATGAGGGAAGGGGGCAGCTGTATATAGAAGGGAGAGAGCGGAGAGGAGTATGATTACAGTATGCACGGTGCACAGCACCAGGACTCCACAGGCGCCACGATACATGGCGTTGGGAAGCTGGCGTGCCCATGATTGACAGACATAACGACGAGGCAACGAAACATAAGGCTCACGTGCAAGAACCGATCACACCAACGTTTAAAACAAACTGGCGCCAGAAAAAAAAACAACGGCACGAAGCCCACCACTGAAAACGAACGAAGATGACGAAGCCGTTGCCAAACGAACCGAACAACGAAACGATGCGTTGAAAACAAATACGACCGACGAAATTAGGCAGCAACGAGCTACGAAGCGAACAACAAACAAAGGCCAACACCAAGCTAAACAGAATTGTTGTCGGTCCTTACTCAAGCGGTGGCCAGCGTGGACCCACGAACGTAACTTAGAGCACCATGGATGCGTTACATACTCTATGTAGTTCATGCTATGTGGCGTAACCTATGTGGTGCAGCATACATCGAAGAAGCTGGAGGCGGCAACGAAACGGCCAGAGACGGCAATGTGGCGCAACCTCGCCAGACCAACCCCACGCACGAGGCGGCAACGAAGTGGCAACGGGCGGCAGCGTGGCAAAACGTCGCCCCAACGCACGCGGCGGCAACGAAGCGGCAGCGGGCGTCAACGTGGCGAAACCTGGACCCACCCAGCGCGCGAGGTAGCAACGAGGAGGCAACGAGGGGAAATGTGGCGAAACATCGCCGGACTCATCCAGCGCACGAGGTGGCAACGATGCGGCAGAGAGGCGGTAACGGGCGGCAGCGTTGAAGGGGCCCTGGGACACACAAATGAATACACACAAATCACCGGATTCCCCTATATTTTCCTACATGTTCTGGGTGTTTGTCTTCCCCCCCACTTCCCAAATTCTCCTATATTTTCCTGGGGATCGACGATTCATTGTGTCTGTGTGTTTTTTCCCCTCCTGAAGCGTGGCGAAATCTCGCCAGACCCTCCAGAGCACGAGGCGGAGACGAAGCGGCAGCAGGCAGCGACGTGGTGAACCCTCGCCAAGCCAAAGCCAGCGAGCGGGGCGGCACCGAAGCGGCATCGGGCGGCAAAGCTGAAGGGGCCCCAGGACACACAAATGAATACACACACATAAAAATATTCCCCCTAGTTTCCAATGTTTTCGTTTTTGTTTGTCTTCCCCCCCACGTCCCATAGTTTCCCATCTTTTCTGGGGAATCGACGATTAATTGTGTCTGTGTGTTTTTTCCCTCCTGAAAAGTGGCGAAACCTCGTAGGACCCACCAATCTCCTTAGACAAGCAAGTGAGAATCCCCCAGTGCAAGAAATGCTTCTGGGGAAGATCGACAGGGAGCCACGAAATGGGTTGGCTACACGTAGGCAGCATCGCTGCGGCTGTAGCCGCGTGGCGAATTCGGTACTTCCACATGAAGGACACGCTGCGGGACCGCGAGGAGGGCTGAGAAGGAACGAACAGATGAGAGGAGGGATAAAGCAGAAGGGCGGACATACTCCGTTTGACGCTCTCAGTGAACCGCGAACGGCGAGGATATCACAAAGAGTCGACCCAAGAAGCTTCACAACTGGATGCCGTGCAATGCTCGAAAACTCAAACACGTTGCTGGCGACCTGGCGGCTGGGAACCAGCCGCGCCCGCTCGGTTCAGGCCAACCCCAGCCACGGAAAGACCTGGAAACACTACTTTACCTCCCGTGCCGCCTGCTTTCTCGGTGCAGCCGAGGTACTACCAGAAGGAACGCCAAATAAGGACCAAAGGGGCTTTTCTGGCCACGGTGGGCCTAGGCCACAAGTAAATCCCGCGACATACATCTAAGAATTGACCCAAATCCCCGAGCCCCTTCCGAACCCAAAGCGGCCCTTTATGTCAGCGTCTTGGCTGTACCCTCCCCGCCCTGCTCCCCTTCAGGCCCAAGGATGGGCTCCCTGGCGCTGGTGCCAGACTCTGGACCTGCCAGGCGCTGCCAGGTGGTGGTGTCCCTGGCCCAAGTGAAGGGGCCCTGGGACACACAAACAAGTGGCACGTGTGCCATGGCTCTTGCACAAAAAGGAAGGGGGAGGAGGAGGATGTGGAGGAGGAGGGGGGGGGAGAGGATGCCAGACATCGCAGAAGGAGTGAACAAAACAGGGCCGCAAGAGGGGCTCCAGAGGGCGAGCGCGAGGAGACTCCAAGGGCCGCCCCCCGCAAGATGGCTTCAAAGACCTTCGACGGGTTCCCATGGAGCCTCCAACTGACGCCCGAGAAGCCTACAGAGGGTTCCAAGGGGAGGCCTCCAGGGTCCAAGGAGGGCTGGAAGAAATAAACTGAGCGGACTCAGCTGCTGGGGGCTCGCGGTGCAAAGTGCGCGGCGGCCTTGTGTTGTCGAACGCTTGTGTCCGATGTCCTGAGCGTTTTGTGGCGCTCGTGCGTTACTTCGCGAGGGCGGAAAGAAGATGGGCGGGGCGGAAGGAAACCATACGGAGAAGGCCCCGCTGAGGCCGCGGGGAACACTGGGGGGAAGGGGCGAAAGGGGCGCACCGGGGCAGGAAAGACATTGGCCGGGCACTGGGGCCGCGGGGCACTGGACGGGCGCTGGAACCGTGGGGGCGCTGAAACGGTGTCCGGGAAGGGGCGGAGCAGGGAGGGGCTGCGGTGCCGAAATAAAGTGGGCGGGGCGGAGGGGGCGCTGGGCGAGCGCTGGAGCCGTGGGGGGCGCTGAGACGCGTGGGGGAGGGGGCGGAGGATGGAGGGGGGGTGTCGGGGCGGAGGGGGCACTGGGCGGGCGCTCGAACCGCGGGAGAGCGCTCAGACGGTGCGGGGGAGGCGGCGGATCGGGGCAGGGGGGGGCACTGCACTGGACGGGGCTGGAAGGGGCGCACTCCGCGGGCGGCTGCGGTGCCTCGGAAGCGCGCGGGGGAGACGCGCGGAGCGGAGGGGGCACTGGGCGGGCGCTCGAACCGCGGGGAGCGCTCAGACGGTGCGGGGGAGCGGGGGGGGGGGGGGCGGTGCCGAAATAAATGGTCGGGGCGGAGGGGGCACTGGGCGGGCGCTGGAACCGCGGGGGGGCGCTGAGACGGCGCGGGGGAGGAGGCGGAGCGGGGAGGGGGGGGGTGCGGTGCCGAAATAAAATGGTCGGGGCGGAGGGGGCACTGGGCGGGCGCCGGAGCCGCGGGGGGGGCGCTGAGACGGCGCGGGGGAGGGGGCGGAGCGGGGGAGGGGGTGCGGTGCCGAAATAAAGTGGTCGGGGCGGAGGGGGCGCTGGGCGGGCGCTGGAGCCGCGGGGGGGCGATGAGACGGCGCGGGGGAGGGGGCGGAGCGGGGGGGGGGGTGCGGTGCCGAAATAAAGTGGTCGGGGCGGAGGGGGCACTGGGCGGGCGCTGGAGCCGCGGGGGGGGGCGCTGAGACGGCGCGGGGGAGGGGGCGGAGCGGGGGGGGGGTGCGGTGCCGAAATAAAGTGGTCGGGGCGGAGGGGGCACTGGGCGGGCGCTGGAGCCGCGGGAGGGCGCTGAGACGGCGCGGGGGAGGGCGCGGAGCGGGGAGGGGGGGTGCGGTGCCGAAATAAAGTGGTCCGGGCGGAGGGGGCACTGGGCGGG